GGGAAAGAGAGGCAAAAATAGAGAGCTCTTCTGCCAGACTAATCTCCAAAATATTTAGTCCTTGGGAATGTCTTTGGTATTTTAAATATTTTGAACATTCAGGTTAAACAAGATTCAGGGATCCACAAGATTACAAAATGTTACCATTAAAATCCTCAAGGTCTTAAGAGCCTGGATGTTTATCAGTTTGTTGGAAAACTGAGGTCTATGTGATACTTAGGAGATGCAGCAGGGTTTCTGTTAATTGTACATGTGTGTACTAAATGGAATAAAAGACTTGTTTTATCCCATTCTTCACAGAGCCAGATTTGGCTGTGCTATAGAATTTTGCATGAGAACGGAGAAAATGTAGGTGAAGGAATGCATTTCTGAGGTACAGTTCTTTAGAAGACGCGCAGTTGTGAAGCAGATAATGTCATATTTATATACAGGAATTCACACAGATGAAGGAAAAAGGAGGAAGGTTGTTTTAAATGAGCAGTTACTATTGGTACTTGTATCATTAACACAGCTAGAACTTATGGGAGGAAAAATATTTAGTAAATCACAAGTAGCAAAACTAATCCACACAGCTTTACTATAACAAATTATATCCTGCAGACCTTTGAGACCCACATTGATTCTGAATGCAAAAGAACTATGGGATTAAGTGAATTTTCTAAAATAAATTTGAATGGCTTTCTTTATCCTGTGTATTCTTTTCTGAAGTGCAGCCTTGAATCAGAGCTGGACTCAAAGAGAAAAAAGGGGGTGCCTAGATTAGTTGCATGAAGGGATTGTTTGAACATGTGTATCGTTCAGCTCTAGAGAGGCATTGCATTGAGGTCACAAAAAAGATTGTTGCTGAAAATTCCTATGTGTGAAGATGGACCAGAATCTCCTTTAATCACATCATGGCTCAGCTGTCAGAGGTCCAATGAGCTCACTTCATGTTGAACTTATGTTACTTCGTGTTGCAAACCATGATATTTCTTTTTTGAACTCTCATATCAAATGCCGTGTTTATTTTTTTAAAGCACAACTCAAAGTCAATATTAATTTAATAACTGTATGGTTTTATTGATATTTAATGACTATCTCAAGCGCTTAACAATGGAAAACTTGTTTTTTAACTCAATGTTGTAACTGGGTATATCAGTGAACACATTCTCATGCACATGTTTTTCAAAATCATTCTTACTAACGTCTGAAATAAAATTTAAAAACAAGCCAAAAAAAATAGACCAGGCAATAATGTTGCAATTTAAACCTATTTGAATCTTCTAATGTACTTCCATTTTTCATAGCTTTTAAAGGTATGATTTTTATACGTATTTTAATCTTGCTGAATATATCTGTCTAAAAATAATAATAATAAAATTAATTTAAACCTGATTTTAAAAAAAAAAGTCTTTAAAGATGTGGTGGGGAATAGTTGTCATTTCTGGCTTTCTTGAAGGTCTAGGGCTTGTATTATAAGAAATCCATTTTTCCCTGTCATGTCTTCTTTCATTGTCCCACTTCCTTTTTACCTTAGTCTTCAATCCACTACATTTTTTCCTTTCTACGGTCAGCACTCCAGCCAGAGGAAGAAGCCCTCCATGCCAGCCACCGGCCAACTCTTGCTTTCCTATGAACTGTGGATCATTCTTTATTCTGAAAAAGATCGCATTGCCTCCAGTAAAAAGTTGCTTATGTGCACACTGAATGAAGCCAGTGGAGTTTTTTGTTCCAAGTAAAGCGTGTTATAGAATTTCTTTGGAACTACAGAAGATGTTCTTGCCCATCAACATTAAGATTTCAATTCACTCATCGAACCAGAAGTCCTTACTCAGAACATACTCTATAAATTGAAGCATATCTGCCATTTCTAATGAAACCATTACTTTCTGTATCACGTGCAAAATACATGTAGTAGCAGACTCTCAGTAAGTGTTCAAGTCTGGGTTGACAGAGAAATTTAGGAGTTCATAGACAAATTTAGGTCTTTAAGTCCCACTGAAACACCTCCTGAGTGTCTTTCTGTATTCCTTTCTTACACAGAGGAAAATAGGCACACTGGAACAGACAAAAAATATCCTAAAGGAGATGCAGGATTTCTATGATTGTATTTATGAGATTTAGCTCATTTGGTGAAGGAAAGCGTGTTGAGAAAAAGTCTAATGGATAAGCAGACTGCCTTGCTAACTGATCTTAAAAAATAAATTGGTTTTGTAGTGAGCGTGACAATTACTTTTGGTTGTGTTCTCCCCAAAGCAGCAGGTCCGCTTCCCTGTCCTGTGACTGTAAACTTCCCTTAGGCTTAAACGAATGGGAGAACTTGCAGGAAAGGGATCTATCCTTTAGGTTAAGAAAGTGGGAAAACAACTGACCTGCATGACCCCAGCCTACATTAGTCATCAAGGTATTATTAACAAACAGATCAAAAATCCTTGTTTTGTTAATATTTCTGTCTCTTTAGGTTTAGGTGGGGGGTTTTTTTGTTGTTGTTTGTATTACCTCAGCTCCTCTTTATCATTTTTTTTCTTAGATCCTGCACTGAACATGTTTCAAATTTTATGTTTATGAATCTGCATTCATACAAGTGCAGAACTGACTATTGATACTTTTTGTTGGTGCTGATATGAATTATGAGAGCTGGGAATGTACTCAAAGTTAATTTAATGCCTGTGAGTGACTCCAAGCCACCACGGTACATTGTTTAATACTATTTGGTAAATGACTGACAGAATATTTTATCTTTTCCATCTAGTTTATCCGAGTAACCAATTGTACATAGTAGGCATCTGAAGTGGGACAGAGAAACTGGTACATAAGTGTGTGTCTGCTAGTGCTTAATTAGATCTTTCTACGATGGGGGAATAGCAGTTTCCCACAATGGATCTGTTACATAGAAAGAAAAAAGTAGATGAGTTTCCAGGAAGGTGATGAGGGATCAGGCCAATAAAGCGGCTCTTAAATGTTTTTGCATTGTTTTATCTGTTGCCCCAAATAAGCAGCAAGGCTCCTAAATGTTCATCGTTATAGTTTGAGACGTTAACCCAAATCCAAATTGCTGTTTTCCTTACAGCTGGACTTAAAGAGATACAGTGATGATTTTTACAAATATCCAAGATTAGGTCCATGCTTTATTACATATGAATCCTCACAGGATTATAGTCGGTCTGTCACTATAATGCCTCTCACCTGTACCAGAAAGTCAGCAGTAGGATGATGCTGGAGAGGATAGCTGTGGTCAGCAGGTACCTCATACAGACCAGCAGCATTTCCGAGCAGCAGTTACACAGTAACTGTTATTGGGCACATGAGATTTACCAGTCATATTCCTTGCAGCATGAAAGTGTCTGCTGTTGACTGGGTGGGGAATCTTGCCAGCTGTTAGTCATATATATTTTTTTCCTTGGTGTGTCTTTACATTGAAAAAAGATTCCAGCATCTGTTTCAGAAAGTCAAATAAATATGAAGCCATGTTAGGTTGTTTATATGTGGAATTTTAAAATCAGTACTGCAAATTGTGCAGAGCAGTTGCTGACTCTTGGACTGCTGTTTATTCAAAACATGTATTGGAGCACTACTGGTCTAGTGAACTTCTGTTTATGGTAGCGTTACTTCAGTAAGCTGGGGGCTTACTCTAGTTTTCTACAATATTGTAATTAAGTTTATAAAAGATGTACTCTTTTTTATGCCTATCGTACTGTAGAGTTTTTATAAAAATAATACATGAAGCAAAAACTAGAATGAGTCAGAAAGTGACTGTAACTGAAGAAAATGCCATCAAACTGAGCTGCTGCTTTCTGCTAGAGGAGAGCAGCCCATCTGACCTGTACAATTTTTCAATAGTATTGAATTTGGACAAAGTCTTTGTGTGAATCCTATTCCTCTCAGTACTGCGTGAGTGATAAGAGCTTTCCTCCAAGACATGCTTTACTGGATAATTCTATTATCCATCAACATGGAACAATGGAACTGCACTTGCCAGAATTTACATCTTGGGTAATTATTTCTGCTTTCATTTAAATTAGTTTCTAAGCTTCTGTTTTCTTCTGGCAACAGGCCCAAGTCTTTGGTAACTGGACACAAGCCTTCACGTATCCTTAATTTACAGCTCTTCCCCTTTTTAAATTTTACTTCCATTCTTTCCTATCTATCTTCCCACTCAGTAGTTGTTGGTTTCTTTTTTTAAACTACTTCTATTGCATCCTTTCAGCATTGATTTCTTATCATTTCTTCCTTTCTCCTTTTTTCTGTTTACTGGGTTTCTAGTCCTAACGTGTCTTTTACTACTGTAAGAAGGTTTACCGAAGTACTACTAAATGTGTTTGTGTAACTGATGTATTGTGCCATGTCCTTTTGCAGTCAGGTCTGGAGTCTAACCAAAATGTTTTAATTCATGGCACTGAGTTCACTCAAGGTCTCATGTCCCAGACAAATTACACATGCCTTCTGACCAATTTGGATAAACAAATACTCTGAGGAGAATCAGATATCTTTTTCAGAGGATTTAACTTCTTTGACCTTCGAGAACGTCAGGCAATTGGGATGTATAACTATTCTCCACCTTACTAAAGATAAAACTCTCTCTTTTCAAATATATATATGTACACACATGAACTTATTTATTCATAGCTAAATAAGGTCATAAAAAAACCCAAAAGATCTAGGATGTTTTAACTATTTCATTGACTTTTCAGATTGTTTTTAAGCTTTTTTTTAAACTTTAAAGGCAACACTGATAGTGAACGGTTCCAAATGGTAAAACAGAAAATCCCCTTCAAATATAACCGGCCCGTAGAGGAGTGGCTGCAGGAAAAAGGTAACAGTCATTAAAACTTTCATTTTAAACCCATTTGATTCTAAACCCTCATTTTTAAAGCCTGCAAATAAATGTTTCTTAAATGATAATCGCCTGCTGCATAAATGACTGTTTTAATTTTCATTATAATTTGTGTCAGCTTCCACCTGCCATATGTTGATAAATCATGCTATAATACATTGCTATTAAAATGCAGTTAAAGGGACGAAATTCTAAGCTTGCTATCATAGTAATGACAAACAAACAAGCAAAAATTCAGGAGACATTTTCTAAAAAAACAAAATGAAGAATAAGAGTGAAAAGCAACAACATGTATTATGGCAATTTAACCACTGCATGATTTTCCTATTTTGATTTGTTTTTAAACTACATTTATATCTTTATTATCAAAGTTTTCTTAAAAAAATTTCAAACCTACTTGTTAAACCACTTCCTGTAAGATTCTTTTTTCTCATTAGTCTGATTAGCCACTGTGGCTATTTATTTCCTATTTGTATTAAGATAATTAAACAATTTTAAAAAATGTTGTAAAGAAAACATTTTTTAACATTTTCATATAAACTATAGTGAGGGAGACAGAGAAAGATGATTGTTCTGTTGCTTTTATGCTATGTCTGGAGTACAGTTTGAACACTCAAATGATACGTGTGTCTAAGTTACAGATAAATTCTTCCCTAACTTAACCTCAGGCAGTGCTACTTAATTTTGTGGGTTTGCCTGGAGTAATTGGCCTCAGGTCAACAAAAGACTTGATAACATGCATAAGCCCAGCTGTCTTGAGTGAGAGTTCTGCAGGCGCTCAGTGACCTGTTGAAATGGGACTTGTATCAGAGCAGTAATGGCTTTTTATCAGGAATTTGGAGGGGAGGGAAAAATCTTGGTTGTAGAGCCCATGTCAAAGCCTGTTGAAGGTAACAGAATAACTCTTGCTGATTTCAGCAGGGTTTGGACTGGGCTCTGGGTAGTACAGTGCAGCTTAAGTCAGGAAGATCTTCTCCCTCTATACTAAATGTTATATTAAAAAAAAAAAAAAATCACTGTAACTAACTCCTTGCCTTGAAGCCTTGAAAAAGCAGAACATGATCTTCTCTTGTTTCCTTTTAAGAAAGAACTGCTTATAAGAAGGGGTGACCTTTGAACTCAGATTTTGCATTTTCTGTGCTGACTTAGACTATGGTTGTTACCAAATTTCCCAAGAGGTAAAACCAATGTTTTGTAAGATTGGAAAAATATAATTTATGTTCTGTTTCAAACTTCTGTCCTCAGCTGAATTAACAAATTGATTTAGCCAGTATAAATTAAGTTAAGGTCACGAAGGATGTGGCTAACTAGAGTCAAAATATTCTTATGTGAAGGGTCTGATCCTGCAAAGTGTTGTGCACATTCAGTTCCCGTTGACTTCAATGAGAGCTGACCTTGTTGCCCATTTTTCAGGTTTGGTCTACAAGGGTGTAACATTTGTAACTAAAGCTAAAGAATTTGTGAAAGTAAAACAAAAATATTTGTGTAACTAAAACGGAAATATTTTTTTACCATCAGGGTTTTATGGAACAGTTAATTCAGCTAAATTGTAAATAAGGTTTAAGGTAAAAGTATACAGAAAATGCTTATTGAGTCTCAGTGGGTTGTCCTGTTAATTTACAAGATCAAACTAAAATAAATAAATAAAGCTTAACACTAAAAAGAGGATAATTTTGGTAAGTTGGAATTGCTAAAGTCCCTTTAACACTAAAGACAATGATTGCCTCAATTTTGTTCAAACAGATGCATGTCTAATTCCTTGCAATTCATGTGCTTGAGAAACCCACCTCAGTTTTATTTTGTGGTTTTGGTTTGGGTGGTTTTTTTTTTCTTTTTGGTTTTCCACCAAATCTTTTATTTTATGTCACTGCTTCTCCAAGTTTGAGCTTATAAGCATGCCAAGGCACTTTCATTTGTAAGCTATCCTGAAGTTTTGAACTGAAGTCTACCTTTTGTGGATATTGATGCTTTGTTAAAAGACAATCACACATGCAGTAGGGTCTAAAAGAGACAACATTTGAGCATTTAGATACTCTCAAAGCACTGGATGTTTTTAGGCTAGAAGGGTAGAGCCTTGTTTTTAGTAAAGTGAAAGGAAATTCAGTCTTCACACTTTGTGTTAGGGAATGATATTGTGCAGTGTAACAGCTGAGACAATATATCTTTCTTCCTTTGTTCCAAAGTAGATAGAGTTTTCAGCAACTTAGGTACCACTCAAATTAAAAAATAATAAGAATTAATAATTTACCTGGCTGTTCACCAACCTGCTCATCCATCTGGTCATCCATCCAACAATTACTATAACATGGAAACCTTCTGTCAGAAGACTTTATAAAGATGATGAGTGAAAGGGTAGCTTGCTATCAACATGGAACAAGATGAACTGATGGATGGAGGAATAGATAGATTCATCAAAGAGACAACATAGAGAATAGCTTCTTGCCCATATGAGTTCTTGGCTTGAGTGAGGTAAGATGAAACACTTTTCGACTGATGGTTTTGAAGACCAGATTTGGTCTTCCTTTGGTACCACTGTTACATTATTCATACTAATGAAATAGTTCATTCTTGGAAAACAAACATAACACATCTTTCTGAAGTGGCATCATTACTGGGATTTTTGTTGTTGGTTTGGTTTTGTTTTTTTTTTTAATTTTATAAATCAGCTTAAAATCTTTTCAAGAGGAGCCTAGGTTTACAATCTCGAATTATATGAGTAATAAGCTAAACATTAAACACTATTAATGTCACTGAGATTATGTATGTGAGTAAAAAAAATAAGTATTAGTGTTAAATTGTTCAACTTAAGTAGTCATAAAACCAGCAGATTTCCTTAGCGGAATACATGGTGTCTGCTAAGGCACAGATGTTACCTATTCTGCAGTTGGGTGAGCTAATAAAGCCCCAGAAGCATCTCATCAAAAGGACTGATCCTGAAAGTCCCTAATTCTTCAAATCTCTCTTACTTACACGTTAAGTCCTGTTGATGTGAATGACTACTTTTGAAGCAAGAACTATTAGTGTGAATTAGGATTTGCTAAGTCAGGCCCCAAATCTCTCCTAGTGTTACGCAAAAGTTCACTAAGATTTCTCTGTGATATTTTTAATTGGTATTCCATTTTCTAAATTAAGAAGTCAATGAGAGAGCAAACAAAGAAATGAGAATTTGAACTATTCAGAGTACTTACGAAACACCTCAAAAATTTAAAATATGCTCATCATTTTTCTCCAGTATGACACTAAAATAGCAGTAGGAAGAGTTCTCTGTGGAAAAGGAGGACTGTAAGTCTGGAACCCTTACACGTCTAGTAGAATTTACTAATGTAAACAGTTCCTTAATAAAATTCAGTAGCCAAATAAATTTTACTTAGGGGAAGTAAGGGCTTCAGAACCATATCATCAAAAGATTGAGTAGAAGAGACCTGTGGTGGCAGAATTAAGTGTATATTCTCTCAACAGTTTTCTTTCATTCCATATTTCCCTGTTGTCTTTATTCATGTACATATACACCATCGTAGAGTGAAGAATGAGGAATGGCAGGTTGTAGGTGACTCCAACAAGTGATTGTTCTTTTAGCAAACGCAATTCTAGTACCAGTGCTGTCTCCAGTGTTAACCATATGGTGCAGTGCATGAATCCTGTACTGGAAGACAACTTAACAAACAAGAAAGACCCCAAAAGACACAATCAAACTTCCTTTTTTACTGGGGTGAGGCCACCTCCTTGGTGTACACTTTCTTTCAGAAGATGCAGGTGAAGGCCCAGAAATGGAGACATAATTTTTTTTTTTTCAGCCTTAAAATATTAACTCCTTATTCTTGGAAGTAAAGCGAGAGATACGACAGACATGTCTAAAGCTGTGCTATGAACTTGGGCTAGAATAGATGACATCCCAAGGAGAGTAGTAATCCTCCAGTAAAGTGAGGGAAGCCCTTTTCTCTCCTGGCTTGGGGATCTTTCCTAGCTGGAACAGCAAAAATTCTTCTTCCTCATCATTGCCCACCCCTGTTCCCTTTGGTAAAAGATGAAAAAAGATACAGTATTGATTCAAGGGGAGAAAGAAATGGAAATGGAAAGCTTTGAATGGTCAGCACCTTTCCTCCATTTTCAGGGATATTATCTTAGGATCAGTGAAATAACTCCCTGTTCTTTACTCATCTCACCTCTATCTTTTGGCACTCTATCATGACTGAGGTGACGAGGAGGGAACAGTAGCAAGTGAAATGTCCCTGTACGTAGAGGAAGGGACAGTTGGGAAAGAAATATAGTGCTAGAGGGAGGAAACATGTGAGGAGAAGGGAAAATGGTGTAGTGAAGAACTTACAGCATATCCATTAAAAAAATCCAAAGTGAAACAGGAGAGAGAAGAAAAGCAAACTCTACAGTACACAGTGCCATTTCCTCTAGCTCAGACAGGAGCTGGGCTGAGAGGGCTGAATATTTTGACAGATCTTGTTATTGGATCCTGTTTTCCTCATAGACAAGAGGAAAGGCTCTGTTTTTACATGCTGAGGATGTGTGGCTTCAGTGCATGTTTGTTTATGTTCTAATAGACATACATTGCCTCTGGTAAGTTTAAAACCTCCTGAGATGCAGAATATCGCATCAGGTGTTTCAACACTTTCCAGGGGAAGGATACCCTCCATTTTTATTTCTCATTTCTTCATCAATGCAGTTACTCCACCCTGATCAAGTCCTAGTGTTTCGTTTACAAATCTGTGGGTGAGGAGCACAAGGGATGTGCAGCCCACCTCCACATGTCCGTATGTTATACCTCTCCATACACTTTTGCTTAGTTAGCTAGGGCCCTCTTTGGGGACAGGAACTCCTTTCAGATGCATTTCTTCTCTTGTCCCCATTCTCTTCCCCATGGTCCATCCTGTCACCATAAGATGATGCAACACCGCATCACCACTTGACTTCGAGACCCGTCACGACGACCACCAAAATTGGTGAGCTCCCCCTCGTATTTTGATCTACTCTAACCACTGGCTGTGAAGGAATGAGCAGTGGGTTATAGGCTGTGTTTTGCTACATGGTGGCATTTTGCACCTCTCACCAGGGTGGACTAGAAAGAGGAAGTGGTGAGTGAGAACTGGGGAGCGGGAATGGGATGGGGACATGTGTTGCAAACTTCATAAAAATGGGAAAACACAGTAGATCTTTGAATGATGATTGACTTGATGCTGCATTGATAACCCTTCTGAGCTCTGCCCAGCCTGGTTGTCCGTTGATTCAACAGATTCCAGGTGGCATGCCCCTAATCTTCTGAGGAACAGTGAAATTATAGGCACTGCCTTTGCACTGCATGAAGCAATTTATTTCTTAAGATAGTCAACTTGGCATAGCCTGGGACATAAGCAATATTTATAGAGCAGTCCAGGCTGAATGTGATTCAAGTGTCCTGCGAAACTAGGTGAATTGGCAAACATTACTAGATTTATTTTTAATAAATGCATTTTTTCATTACATATGATATTAGACCACTCCTAACACTCAAGGTGTACCCTTGAGTAAACCACTTAACCTGCCTACATTTGAATTTCACTGTCTGTAAGAGGGGAGTCACATGTAAGGCATTCTGGGGCTTAACCATCTGAAGCACTATGTTATCCTCACTATTTCAAAAACTTTGCTCTTTCAGAGACATCACAAATGTTTGCATTCAGTGTTTCTTGGTTTTAGACTTCTGAGCCTTCACAAAACGAAATTTACAGGTAGAAGATCATGACTGATCTTGTGTTGTTTCCTACACAGTCCTTATATCACCAACAATTTTATCTGATGTTTTACTGTCCTCAAGCCACCCCTTAAAACCTTTGCATTATTAAAAGTGGCTTTATGAGTTAATCTTATCCTCTGACCAGCCAAAATAGAAGGTTTATTTATGGGCTAAAGCTTGACAGGTACTGCAATCTGAATTGATAGTAGAGAAGTAGCTACATATTGAGGCCTTATTTGTAGTTTAAAATGGGTCCAGCTCTAAAAGAGTGGCTTAAAATTTCTGACTGAGTCAAAGCTCCTCCAGAGTTTTGATGTGCGAGTGGATGCTGAAGCATGAGATTCAGTTTTAGCTGTTCTTGCTTTCAGGCTAATCTTTCTTATTAATGAGCTTTAGGTAGTACATTTCCATACTGTATTTTTACAGTCATAACAAACACTACCAAGAATGAATCTACTTCTTTGTTGTCCGTCATTTCTGGCCAGGACTCAATGTAAGATGCAAAGTGAAGGAAATGTCTGGCAATAATGTTATTCACCCCCCTTCACTAGGACGACAGTTAACCATCTTCAACACCCAGGCGCAAATAGCCATAGGAGGGAAGGACAGAGGGCGTCTCTTCCAAGGCCAGCTCTCCGGTCTCTATTACAATGGCTTGAAAGTGCTGAACATGGCAGCGGAGAACAACCCCAACATTAAAATCAATGGAAGCGTCCGACTCGTTGGGGAAGTCCCTTCCATCCTGGGAACAACACCCACAACCTCAGTGCCGCCGGAAATGTCTACTACGGTCATGGAAACCACAACTACAATGGCCACCACTACAACCCGAAAAAATCGTTCGCCACCCAGCATCCAGGTGAGTCAATTAGTCTTCTGCATTTTCTTGGGTTCTTAATTAGGCTTTTGTTTCACTGCTCACTTGTAAGTTCATGGAAGCCCTGTATTCTCTGAATAATGTTCCATGTAGCTCTTTTTTTAATAATGCTATATAGGGTGAGTCACCACAAAATGTTGTCTTCCGGTGTTGGTGAACAAGCAGCTGGATGAATTATTATGGCACATGTACATGATAATGGAGACAGGTTTTGCTCCTGTTCTAGTGCAACCCTATTTATATAAGTAAGATTGCCCCAACATGAATGAGAACATGTTTTTAACTGTTTCTACAGTTCCATATGTGGGGAAATGTATTCCTAAGAGAGTTACAAAGCTTAATGGGGGGTGGGTGCATGGTTATTTATTATTATGACAGTATGTACTGCTGCAACAGTGAAGTTCATAATGCGGCTTAAAGCAATGGAGCATTACTTCCAGGTAAAGGCATTTTTCATTTTCCTTTGATAGCCTTCCTGTAGAAAATTTTAAAGGAACACTCTCAAGA